GGAAAGGACCGTAACCGCACTTGACTCGAAGATTATCTACATAGTGAAGCAGGTTGGCTATCGACATAGCAGGTAGAAGACCCTAGCAAAAAATACAAGAACAGCACAGGCGCCAACCAAACCGTCAGTGAATTTGTAGCACACAAATATACTTTACAAGTACCTACTAGTTAGTTATCGTTATTCAAAAAGATGTTGCAATCTACAAACAAAACTTGTGAATATACGAATGTGTGCTTTCTCAGCTGCGAGCATATCCAATTTTGCAGTCTTTCCCAATGCGACTTTCTGTTGAATAATTTTGTAGTTTGACAGTTGATTCGTCGCGGTTGCAATACTTTATATGGGGAGAGCATTATTTTCATTGTTAGAAAAGACAGTTGGCGAATATAAACGCAAACCTTGTTCATGCAAGAACAAATTATAAAGATAAAATAGAACCGTTTCTGTTGATTACTAAGCTTAATTATTAAGAACTCAATATAATATGATCTGTCGATACCGTTACAATATCAATCGACTTTAAAATAATAGCTTCGGTAGGAAAATTTTATATTTTAGTGATTGTTTTGGTCCTTATAGACAAATAAGGCTTTGGTCCTTTGATACCGATTTCATAGGTCATTTGTCGGGCACTGAGTAGTACAGTTCTCAATAATGGTAACATTATTATAGGTTTAGGTTCCCGGTAAAAGCTTTCTGCAAACCAAGTGACAGCACAGTCGAGTGATTCAATAAACCAATCAGGGGCACACAGGGTAGCACATCTGTGGAAGGCAATATTGGCATCGCATTTAGGGTGCAACATACCTTTGCATAAAATCAATAACTTGGTTACCAAACACCTCGGCAGCGGTCGCGTGATTTGTACCAACACACCTTCATTATGGAAATTCCTAATACATTTTTGTTCGAAATCATTAGGAAAGCATTGTGAGGATAACGACCTTTGAATGTTCCAATTTCTTTAGTCTATTGCGATCTTTTGTTTTGAAGATATTTCGTCTAAAATATCGGAATGAATATGGAATTAAATACAGGCTTTGTGTCACTCCATTAGGTACGCTCCAAAATTCTGTTCTCACTCAGGCATTAATGCGAAAGGCTCTTCAGTCAGCACAAAGGCGTTGACAGCAGGAGGATTATAATGAATATTGGGCTGACATCTCCGAATTTTTAATATATGAGCTTGTACGTAACCACGGTGAAGAGGCAATTAAACATGTTCGTCCAATTGTTTACTCGGACACAATAACGCAACCGTATTACGCAAGCGGGGAAAGTAGGTGACTCACAAACTATGAGTTCCTTGCGTTAAACTAAACTTAGTTATTTATTAGTTTTTGACTCCTTAGGGTTGGCCTAACTTTGAAACTACACTGTGAACGATCAAAAATGTTAAACAGAAACGAGTAAAACATTTGGTTACGTATTCATTGAGGCGTGTAAACAATTTTAAACACATATACGGCCGTATCACGCCGCTTTCCCGCAATACGTAGTTAGTTATATACACATTGCGGATAACCGTTACTTATACACGTGTCGTCGCTCCTCGCATATAGAACAGGAATCACATCAGTCTACTGGATACATATATTAATTAAAATCCGACAGATACAATTTTTGTCCACATTTCAGGTCGGTTTTAAGCTATTACGTAAGAGCTTTGAATAGTTGCCAAAACCGTGCCCTGCACGAACTAGTCATGACATGATATAACAGCTTATGCCATAGACCCGAAACTTTATTTCTAAAGAACCACGTATCGTAACAATGTTTATATTGGTATTTTCGTCTTAGAACTTCCCGAGATCTTTCAAACGCTCCAACAAGTTTATAAGGGGAAATCCGATATCCCGCCGATCTTACAGCAAAGAACTGCAAAGTTGTATGCTTCATCATAAATGTGAAACTTTAAGTACGTTTAACCCTCGATGGGTGGTAAGTGAGGCGGTGACGTCACCAGCTGAAAGGCCATTCACTCCGTCTTGCCCCACTGACCTCTGGGAACACACTGAAAGGACTGTTGGCAATCTAGCCATTAATCCCCCGTCCAAATGCGGTGAGCTGATATTTTAAATGTAAATCTTCCTCGTTCATTACGCTGAGCCAGAACCTTGATTCTATATTGAAAATTATTATTACATTATCGTTTCCCCAGCTCTAGGTAGGTAACGAAAATGTCAACCAAGTTTCGAATATCATTAGAAAATAGTTTGCATTATTTAAAGTATAATTAACGATTTGATCAGGCAAATCGTCAGAGTAGGTACTGCTGACAATTTTGTGTGAATAACGCGTTGCTCGCTAATGGCTTTCTAGTCGGCTTTTAACAAGCAATTTACAAGATAAATAATTGCCAAATTAATAAGGCCTTTTGATAACAATCGATTTTGAGGTCCTTTGCAGTGGAAGTAAAGTTAATCGATCATTAATTAGTATTAGGGGAACTTGTTTGTTATGTGTTTCTAGACTGAATTGTTGGTCTCCTCTACACGTGTTTAAATGAGAAGCTCTAGCGTCTATTGTGCAAAGACAACAGCTACTTGAACTTTTCGCTGGGGTGAAGCCCTAATATCCGTCGACAAAACCATTGAACGACGCATCGCTGACGCCGAATAGCTCTGATTAATTATTCACACATTTTAGGTGTACCATTTACATCGCAGAATTATTTACTAGCGCCATCCGGTGGATCAGATATCGACAATCGGCATCACATACGTATATATGTGTTCGCGATCCATAAATACTAATAGGTACTTTTCTAATAATTACGAGGCAGGTAGATGCAATTTCAACTCTCTCCACACATGTAGGATAGATACCTACCTAGCTACAGCTACGTGTTTTTAAAGAATACATGAAAAGGATTTTAAAAACGTTATGTAATGTAAAATACGCACTGTGGCGGTTTATGAGGTACATTATATATTTGGGAAATGTGATATAGTTACTGTTCTTAACCTGTGATTTCAACCGCGGGCGACCGCAATCCACCGCATACTCGGTGCTCTATCGACTTTCGAAACCAACATTATTCATGGTTTTGGTAAAGTTCTTATTTTATTTTTCCTAGTTTCAAAAGTAGACATTCAGGTGGTAAGTTCAAAGGTGGAAAGTAGGCGTACTTTGATGATCGAAAATTATCGGTGTTATTTCGTACCTACGCAAATATAAAAATGAAGAATGTCGGTGGATATAATGTCTTTGATAGTGAAGATTTTCGAATTGATAAAGTAGTATACCTAGTAACTAATAGTAAAAAAATACGTTTAAAGAGATATGAACATTAACACTATCTATCTTAACTTTGCATGTGTGTTTTAATCATACCGATAAAATCATAAACCACGTATAGTTATATCGGTATTTAAGCAAAGTTTTACGATTTTTAGGTATAAGGAACCTAATTTAATCGTTGTTTCGCGTAATAAAAGCGATTATATACCCGGTAGAGTGATTTGATATTTTCTAAAGTAGGGATTACGTTATCATTAAAATACCAAACATAGTAAATACCTATACTGTTTTACGACGCTCTTTTATTTTATAACAGGTATCAGAGTTCGTTTCTGCACGAGTAAATAAATCGGAAATGAGATCAGACGCGTAATAATTGCGGACATATTAACACGTATTGATTCGACGTGTAGTTATGATAAGTAAATTATCGGGCTCGGAACTCGATATATTGTACGAATCGAGTGCTCTCGAATAGATGTTGATGTAATTTGCATTAATAATGGAGTATACTGACACAACTCGTCATAATTAACGGCCGCGTAAAACTAATAAAAATCTCAGTTCTTAGAAATGATAAAGGGTGTTTATTTTTAGAAATTATATGACTTTGCACAGCTGGACTTTGCGCTACAGTTTTTGCCCTTCACTTAATGAGCTTTTGTAGGACAGATTTCAAAGAGAGGGCTATAATTCCTTCATCATAAATAACAGCTAGTAATCAAGATAATGATAATCTATTACTTCTTTACGTAATTATCGTGATGTTCTCAAAATCACGTATACATAAACATCTATGTGAATTTAAAGACATGGAATCATATCTAAAATTGAAATACAGGAATTAAAATAATTTCCATTATGTACCCATTAGATTTTATGTGCTACTTCTGTACTATTAACACATTATCATGATAACATTGAAATGCAATGTCATGTTCATGGTAATGTAAGATAACAAATGTTTAACAAGGTGTTGTTGGCTTAAGGTATTCTGCATAAAAATCTTATGTCACAATATTTTTTGGCATAGACTGAAATGTTATATTTCTAAAAAGCAGCAACAAGTAAACATGTTGGCATAAAAATCCTGGTTAGAAATAAAACATCATGGTCACCCCAATTTCTGCCTTTGAACTTGCCTTTCTGACTTTAATTCAAATGGATGCCACTTTTTTAATCACAATTCAAACTTTGTGTACATTTTATAAAATAAGATGCAATGAATTATAAATTAAAATTCTTTTTTAATCTGCAATTGGGTCCCTACAATTTGACTGTAAAGATTTTGCACATGTTTTTGCATTATGATGTCATCAAAACATGTTACAATACAACTAATTTATATTTACAGAAACAGGCTGGTTACTGTTTGACCTCAAGCCCTTGAGAGTTGAACATGATTGACCTATGACTCACCGACTTGCAAAATTATTGATCACATCTCTATAAAAATGAGTATGTCTATCTATGGTAAGTTATAGTTTTATGGCCTGAAAGACAAATTTGATGAACTACACTTTGCTAAATATTCAGATGAATTTTATATTTAGGTAATAATATCCAATGTGAGTTTTTATGTATTGAAAGTTGCAAAGTTTGCTGCCTGTCTGCTATTGAATAGCAGGTTACATATTGTTATTCTCTAAAATTATATGGTGTGTTATTTTGGAAAATACATCAATAAGGATACTAAAAAAAATATTAGAAACAGGTAGTTAGAATTACAGTGCTGTCAAAGAAATTATATTTACCTCCTCAATATCCTTGTGGAACTTGATAGGGCGCATCAAATAAAACTGTATGGAGAAGTAAATGAAGTTTATCACAATAAAAGCACTGTTCCAGAGCACAGCGTCCAGGTAGCACTCGATGCTCCACGCCCACATGCCGGAAAAGGCGCAGCCCAGCATCAGAGCCACGCGCAGCCAAACCAGGCCGCTCGCCGTATGCGGCGCCAGGAACGACAGCAGGAAGAACACATTGGCCACTTGGAAAAACACATGGTTGACGGGCCGCCACTTCGGGCAGTGGTTCAGGTACATGTCCCACATGGAGGGCCGCTCGTGCACCGTCACGTTCACCAGGTCCCCTGACTGGCCCGACAACTTTGTCGTCTCCACCAGCCCCATCTCGCGCACGGCCCGCTCCGCTACGCTCGTCACCGCGCTACCCTCACTGCCGTCACTGCTGGGAGCAGGCACTTCCGTCGTCACATTCTGCAGCCCACCTATCATACCGATCGCTAAGGCACTGAGAAACAACATAGTCCCACCGCGCTCTCACACACACCCCGATTAAATTTGTCATCGAAAATCTAGCGGCAATTGGCATTTGATTGTTGTTAAGTTACACTAAAGCCCGGGTTTTGTCGTCTATATAATTCAAAAACATTAATTTATTGTTGCGTTATTATTTACTATAAATAAAAAATAATAATCGCTCCGCTGCACACATAAACTAAACTAATAGACGCAAATGCACATAGAAAGTTAACTAACAAGACATCAGTCACTAAAATTAGAATAACTTATTTTGAATTAAATTCCTTCAAGAGTCCAAAATAAAACGTTAGGAAACAGTAAAGCAAACAATCGAAGCACACAAATGACAAGCAGCACTGTGTATTATTGACAGAAACCATAGAGTAACTGAGAGGACTAGGGTTGCCACGCAACCTAAACCAAACTAACTATTTAAACTAAACTATTCGAAACTGTACCTATTTATTGAAAAACAGTACGTTGACAATTTCAAATAACTATGGAACATTTAGAAATTTTTATGTTATTATCAATTAAAAACTATCACAGTATAAAATTATATGAAGCAAAGTTATTTACAAATAAAACTAAAAAACTATACCTACCTGCTTTCTATGGTTTTCACTATAGGTATTCATGAAGCTTGTTTGTAATAAATACCCTTGCTTATGGTTCAAATTAAAAATAAATCATTGTAAAATTAGGTGCTTTAGTTTAGGAACATGAATATAAATTTTAATATAAAAATAATAATAACGATGGCAACTACGAAATTTTACACTACTTATTAAGTTAAGTAAATTAGATTTGTAATTTTTAACTTAAAATTTAATAATAAGATTTTGTCTTTATAAACGCTTACAGTGCAGTCATTGTCAAAACAGTAAAAAAGCCGGAAATCGGAATTGTCAATCAAGTTGAAACTTGTGTGTTATAGGCGGTATGAAACACTGAAATTCTTATTTTTTTTAATAGTTATGTTTTGTTTTAACAATGTCGGTGCCGTTTGATATGTTATTACACCCAGAGCTTTTAAGTAATGAACAGTTGATAAGAGTTATTCAAGAGGTAATAAATACTGCTTAAATTAGAGTGTTATTGTGTCAAAACAAAAATAAACCTTGAACTTTTTTAACTATTTTTTATTTACAGAGGCATCTACGAGTTCCAAACATGGGTGATCTACGAAGAGATGAACTATTAGATATATTTCACAATTATTGCTTACCTCACGGTCAAAGAAAATACAGAGATTCTGGGCGCGGCAAATTACTAAACAAATCGCGCGAAATAAGTCCTGAGCCAATAAAAAAGTTAAATGTCATGAATAATCAGGAAAGTAAACTTTACAAAGGCAACCCAAGCTGCGACAGACTTAAACCACCACCAGAGTGCCATTTTAGTCACACAAAGAGGATCAAGATTGAAACTACAATATCACCTATAACAAATGCAGACTTCCTCAATTCAAGTAAAAGGAAAATTTATAGTGATTCTGTAAGTACTTAACATTCAAGTCCGTTCATTCAGTCTTTGCACTAGCCAAAAAATCCTTGCATTTATACTCATACTTTATGAGCTTTTATCAACTTCAAGTACTTTCTATATAACAATTTAATCCATTTCAATATAGTTATTCTTTGTGACACATACATTTATTTATTATGAGTGTGCAGTCCATATTGTCTGTTAAACTCTGTCTATCCTGTAAGTTTGATTGTTTTAATATGAAATACATAGAAATGCCATATTTATTTTGGCTTCAGAATAAGTAGTTATTCCTATTTTTAAAGTAATAATGTTGATAGTTTCCTTTATTTATCTTTGTCTTATACTTACACATTATTTTGACCTACCCTTGTGTTATCTCTTGTATTGTGGGTGCATTAACAAACATACAATTTCACCTACACATCAGACCCAGACCCGGAATAACAATTTATGAATCACACAAAGAGTTGTTTCAAGCAAGAATGAAACATGAAACATGCAACATTGCTAAGCCACTTGTGGTCTAGAAACATTCTAACTAATAATATTGAGTGCACATTATTCTCTGTCGATTTAGCCATTTTGCTATTAACTATCTCTTTCTCTCTCTCTATTTTTCAGACCACACCAACAGATAGTCCACCACCCAAGAAAGAAAGGAAACCAATAACATATCTGTGAATGTGAATATGAACTTTATTTATTTATGCTCATCATGTCATTACTATTACATTGATTACAATCAACACCTGTCTCAATAATCAATAATTAAATACTTAATTTATTGAATAAAATGACTTGCTCAGCTCATATGGACAGCACCAATAACAATAGCGGGACTGCTCCTGAATAAGAGTTCTGTTGTGACTTGTAACTTGGGTTAATCCTCATCTGCAAGTGTTTTTCAATAAATTTTGTATGTCTCACAATAGTTACTTGCAATTTGAATTTGTATATGAGTGGTTTAGGAGCAGAATCAAAGTAGTAGATATTTCTCTTTCTATATTCTATAACACAACAAACCTATATTGCTAGTGGGAATGAATTTAAATTAAGAAAGTTGAAATGGCACAGCAACCTTCCTTATTTAAATTCTTTACTCTACTGAGTAAAGAATTTTTATAATATTTACTAGAGAATTTTAATAATAGAAAATTTTAGAGAATTTTAAGAGAATTTTAATAATATTTACTAAATCATGAGACATCATACATTGTAAGACACACTCATGTTTTTATCTCAAAGAAGGACATCAAGATTTAAAACAGATTATATTTAAAATGTAATTATAATAAGCCATTGACTGCTGACAGAAAACTATTGAAGGCAAATTGTTGTTAACATGTTATATATGGCTACCAGCCATATTGTAAAAGTGTACATAATGTTATTGTGGTATGATTTAAAATCATAATATTTTTCCACTGTGACAAATAAAATATTGTAGTTATAAAAAAAATTATAATAAATTATAATACATTTTAAATATTGAATACTTATGTAAATAAAATACCAAAAAAAATACACCATGATAAAAAATATATTATTAATTTTAATAAACTCAATAATATATCATTTAATATAAATTAAAAAACTTTGCTAATTGGCAGCTTAATATACATACGTTTGGTTTTTATGTATATATACATTTACTTTTGATGAAAATATTACATACATTATATTTTTATTTCTTGACAATATACAGCATGTTTCAAAAATGAATAGAGCTGAAATACGACGGTATATGGCAACATTCACCTTTTATTATTTGGTTAACAAATCTTTCCCAAAAAAATATATATAAACAAAAATGGATTCAATAAGTACATGTAATTAGGTGTAAGTTAAGAATGTGCTGTTCAACAGTAAGTTGTATAAAATAATTAGCCTAGACTACTTGAGCAGTCTGGAAGTTGCAAGTGTGACTGATGTATAAGAGATCGTAAATCCAATGTGTTAACGATCTTTTTCCATTTAACAGCAATGGCGCTGATTGTTACGTTTTTTTTTTGAGGCTAATTGCTTCAAATTATGTGTCTTCTCCCGCCCAGGGTGGGGCGATAGGAAGTGTCAGACTCTTGCTGATTGAAAGCACTTCCGTTCCTTCTCCTGCTCTAGGCCGAGGCCGCAGTACTTTATTGCGTTAGCCCCGCAATCCCGGCTGAGATTGTTATGTTTGTGATGCATATCACCGCAAGCTAGTTCAGCATAACATGAAACTTATAAGCTATCATCAGTCGGAAAGAGTTACTACTCATCCATCCGCTACGCATTTTCTAAAGCGTTGCCATTTTACGTCACAAACAAATAATCTGAATATAAGTAGGTCCAAGGTTACCTAAATAGCCTACTGGAATTTTTGTATAGATACGTCAATCTATACAAAAAATCCAGTAGGCTATGTAGAATTAATTGAAATATCATATCTAGTAGGCTAGTTTATTTTAATCGCATATCCATTCCCCATGAAATCCCATATCCATGTTATGTTAGTATCTATACAATAAAACAATGTTATAGTTTTCGGGACCTAGGTAATAACCGTCGATAATTATTCTCTAGAGCACAAATATTGCAAAGGATCATATTTTTATTGAAATAAGTAGTGGTGTAGAAAATTTACCCAACACCAGCTTACATTCCCATGGTCCTGGTATCTTATTTGATATCCGCACAGTTATTTGTTATGCAGGCAAGAAAATAAAGATTGATTGTAAAGAGGCAGTAGCTTATATGGTTTTTAATGAAGCCATATTTCTTGTCACCATAGGTCGGCTCAGTGGCCAAAAAATGATATCTGTATCTGTACTGAAACAATCTTTATTCTCGTACTTTTGGATTTTGAAAAAATGGGTGGATGATTCCCTATCCAATGATATCTTTGTCTCATCCATCGCAGCCAAATGAAGAGAAAGAATGATTGTGTTACTAGTCGAGGTATGGTTGTAAGGGACTTGCAATGGAACAGCGGTCCCAACCATTTTTTTTTTTTTTTTTTTTTTGTTTTTTTTTTTTTTTTGTCAGGGGAAAATCATCCAATGACTTCTCCCGCCCAGGGTAAGGCGAGAGAGAGTGTCAGACTCTTACTGACTAAAAACCCCCCCGTTCCTTCTCCTGCTCTGGGCCGAGGTCGCGGTGCCTCATTGCGCTTACCCCGCAGCCCCGGCTAAACATCAGCCCTTTAGGGCCCCGACTGTGGTGGTCTATTGGCTCTTTGAGGCGCGCGCGGAACGCTACGTGCCGTACGCTCGGGTCCAGTTCTGGTCGGGCGGCGAGCTACCCTTACTCGTCGTCCGCAGACCCGCGCTTACGGTGGCCGGAGATCATCCCTCGATCCCCGACGTCCGGAATGTCGCCTTCTGCGGCGGCTGGGGCGCGAGGAGGATAGTTCCCTCACGCGCTCCGCCTCCTCCTTTGCGAGCATAACTGCTTCGCAGAAGGAGGAGATAGCTTCCCAGTTCCTCTCACGCTGCACCATGGCCTCGATTAAGGCCGGGCGCGAGAGGTCGCTGCCGCCGATCACTTCCCTGAGAACACGGCGGTGCTCAGCCCAAGCAGGGCACTCCGCCACAGCGGTCCCAACCCTGAAGGTCGAAAATAGTCAATGGTCAAATATATAAATACGAATTAATATTAATATGATGAAATTATATTTATGTTTATTTATATTAATCAAGGCAATATACAGGGTGTAAGGGACAGCCTTCCGCAAACTGATAGGGTGGATTCATTATATCGTCTTAAGTTGACCGGTACATGAAATTATTTCAGGAACGTTATGGGAATCCAATTAAACCGATTTGTTTCATTACCTTACACGCAATGTATCGCTACCACCGCAAACGCACGCGAGCGAACGGCAGCGCTTTTAGTATTATTACTTTACACTATGGGCAGCGCCGCGACCTTACGTTCAGACAAACGGTCGCGCTCGCGCCACGTTTTAATAACAATAAATTATTATTTAAAAGATAGCCGCATTACTTACAAAAGACAATGTAATAATCGCGCTCGCGCCACGTTTTAATAACAATAAATTATTATTTAAAAGATAGCTGCATTACTTACAAAAAAAAAATCTAACAATCATAACATGGTAACTGATAAATGATAAAAAAAGAAAAATGCGTAGGTACCTTAGAATCGCTCCGGTTTCCGGCTCTGGAAAGCATTTGTGATGCGGTCTCGCATTTCGTACTCACTTGCACACGCACTCACAAACACTTTTTCATTTACGTAACCCCACAAAAAGGGGTCCAAATGGGTTAGGTCTGGGGATCGTGCTGGCCACGGTTGCGGTCCAAACCTACCTAAACTACGTTTAAATAAGAAAGCACTGGTAAGTGGTAGCGTCTCCTTACGTTAGCGAACCAATTCCAAAATCCACGTAGGTATTGGTCTTCCGGCGCCTTTTTGTCTGGGAACAATGGGCTGGTTTTCTAGCAAGCGTTGATAGTCACCAGTAATTATCCTGGAGTCTGATGGATGGCGACGGTCAGGATACCTACACTACTACAACACATTATCATCTCCCCATAATCACGCGCGCTAAACGTACCTAGGTAGTAATTTCGCACAATTTCTACAACAAAACTTCACTACACTTCACACACTACATAACTAATAAAACTTAACAACACTACTTATAACAAAACTTTTAAGCAGAATGCGCGAGCGATCCGTACCAACACACGCTCGCGGTACACAAACAATAACATCGCAGCAAGGCACAATGGCGACTGCTGCATGTGATGAGACACACACAAACATAAATCTGTTGTTGCCAATTACACGAAAATTACAAAATTTCGGGGTAAAAAATAAAAAATTATGCATGGTCGTAATTTATCATTCTGTTATTTTTTGTAGAGAAATGAATTGATTAAATCAATTTAATTCTAATTTCATTGTTTAGTTAATTTAGAATAATAAAAGTGCAGTGTGATAGAAAGCTGTGCTTTCATTCCAGGGAGATTGTGTTTAATTTCTGGCTCGACTATCAATTCATGGCTATTGTGAAGCCATGTAAAAATCTGTAAGTAGTTTAAAAACTAGCCAGTAATCGCTGAAAAAGAACAATCAATTAATAAATTAGGTAGTATTTGTAAATGCTTTAAAATTAAAACTAGACTAATCTTTATTTATTTCTTATTCAATTTATGTGCGCGACAAGATTTTCATTAATTGATTAATGAAAATCTCATCAACGTAATTATGAATGCAAAGGAGTTCTCAAGTTTTAGATAAATTTCGCTAGTTCTAACATTTTCGTTTACTACCTGAGGTAACAAAAGTTAAAAATTGGCAACACTGGTTCAATCGGGCAAACATTGTGCAAAGAATCGGGGAGACGGGGGACGCGGAGGCGGGGCGATAGAAAGGGACGCAGCTATTCTGAAAGTTGGACGGGATCGTAGGTATTATACCTACGGCGCGCGGCGCGGCGATCGGCGCGGTGGGGCGCCGAGCCACTGCGCCGTGACCGCGGTGCGGTGAGTTCAAACGACTCGCGCTAGGTAGAAATTGAACAGCTGATTTCATGCGTAGTTCTTTAGAGAATTCACACAACCATTGCGTATTTTTTTGTTTTAGCTGAGTTATTTACATTAATGTTATTCTTCATACAAAGAATGTAATTATACATTGAAATAGAGGTGTAGGAACTGAAAAAACGAAAAAAAAATTGAAAATTTTCCTGAAAGAATTTTCACTGGAATATGATTCAGAATAAGGAGCTGAATGCACCCTGTTAATTTGTGGAGGGCTGTCCCTTACACCCTGTATTATTATAATTGTAGTCATCATACTTTTTAGAATTCTACGTGCTTCTACTTCCGAGTAGGTACTTGAAAAGGGTTGGGTTGTTCTGTCATTGAAGAAATGTGATAATGCTGATATACCGAGTGCACTTTATAAGAGGTGTTACAACTATATAAATCTTTTCTTTAATGTTTGTTTTTTGCAAAGTGCCTACATTCAATATGTTAATCAAAAATTTTATTAGGTACATTTTCCCTTCTCTGTCTTACATTGTACGTATATAACGTAATAAAACTATTGCGAGACAGAGACAACATTATTGAGCTGTATTTAGATACGTGTTCAAGAATTTTCTAAGCTTCCTCTTTTGTTGATATCGCTATTGTTTATTTAAGTACTGGCCATTATGGTGTCTGTGTGTGTTGATTTAAGTTTGTAAGTGTTCCTACGATGTTTGTAGTTATTAGTATCAAGTGTACATATTACTGTATGTAGCTAAGTTATTTTGTATGGATGAAATCAAAAATACATGGCTTTGAATATAATAATATTTTATGTTGTTTTATTTCTTATTTGACAAAGTACACATCGAATATTAACAACACCTGTAGCAATATCTAAGTACGAAATATAAAAAAAATACCAAACTTTTTGAAATAATTACGACGTTGACGCGTTTATGGGTATAAAATTAAAGAAGGTCTAATAAGCGCAGTCATTATTTACGCTCAACATTCATACAAATAAAAAAAAACATTTTTGAAATAAGAATTGACAGCTGTTACAAAATCAACAACACTTTTTATTTCAGCATCCTTTAAAAAGTTAATTTCTTATCTACTTTAGTAAACTTGTAATAAATATTATAATTTAATTTACAATCATGCAACCCTTACCGAGGAACGTTAAGTCTACAAAGAGTCGGTTGGACACTATAAATCAGACGCAGTCACATCTCTTGGTGCCCTCGGAGAAGTTGGATAAGGTCACAAGGAGGGTTATTGCGCCTTATGCACAGATCGAAAGAAAAGGTAAGACCCAATCGACTCTGATTCAGTGGCTCCAAGACTGGGTAATTGCTAGAAGCCATTCATTGTTTAAGAGAGTTAAGTATCTTTAATATTAAAGCAATCTTCATGTGCCCCAGGCAAGTCTCGTATTAGGTATATTATAAACGCGAAAGTTGAAAGTGAAGTTGTGGATTATTATTTAGGTTCGTAAAACGTACTGAACGGACGACTGCATGATCATTTGTAATAACGCAGGCTTTTTCAGCCTGGCTCTGCGTTAAGAATTAGTAGCTATCACTTCAGAACAGGTGCTATTTCTAAGGTGGATAGGTATCAAAACCTGCGGTAGGATTTTAGAATTAATCTTGCTATTTCAGCTTTATAGGTACAATATATCTACTAAATAATATGTACCTACGAGCAGACGGATCACCGGTAAGCTATCGGCGTCGCCCGTGGAAACCAGCAACACGAGTTAAAAGTGCATTGCAAGCCTTCGAAAGATGGGAATAATTAGGGTTTGGAATTATGGACATACATATAAGGATGAGGGATAGAGTAACCCCTCACACGATGCAACTTAACGCATGAGTTAGGTAGTTGCTTCACGTCAGTTTCCTGTGAAACTTCAGTCATTTCATTAGTCGAGACGGTCAATTCGCATGGCTTTCGCATTTATTTTTTGTCTTGTCACTAGGTAACTAGATTTCCCACGGAAGTTACAAATTAAACCTTGATGATTAATCAAACCACTTTACAATACACGTAGGTCTAAAAGAGGAGGAGGATAAAGCTGGAAGATACCTAGACATGAGCCGGTTCAACGTGTTCTTGGAGGACACTGTGGACCTGGAGTCACTTCTCTATGAAACCGCTATGGTATTGAAGAATGTCACTGATAGTACGGGTTGGTAGCCATTTTCAACTTATTAGCAATTGCGGATTTATAGATACACGAGTACTGAAATAACTGTACCTATGGTTTGAAACCTTTTAAAGTAGCTATTACAAACCACGTTAAGTTATATTTCGCTACAGGAAACTGTAGGTTTGTTGCGAAGCCATTCTTATTCTAACGTTCTGCAGCTCAAGTGCAATGTCTATACCAGCATCAAAAGTAGCTGGCTGTGCTTGAATGCGACGAATTATTTATTTTTAAACTAAATAAATTACCTAGGTCCTAAGTGACCACGCTTGATGGTGTTCGGATAAACTGTACATATACTAAGAAAAGCGTGATGTTTCGGTAAAAAAGGGGATCTTTAGAATGCGTACTTACAACACATGCAACGCACACATGTCAATGGTACCCCACTTTTAATCAGTTCTGTTCCAAGTTAGATTAACAGACATTTTTTGAAGGGGAATATCTATGATAAAAATAATGACTTCTCCCGCTGTTTGAGGTGAAAGGGAGTACCTACTTGTCAGACCCTTATTGACTAAAAACCACCCCATTCTTTCTCCTGCTCTGGGCCGAGGTCGCGGTCATATTGCTCTTAACCCGTAACCCGGCCAGCCTTTAGACCAACTACTTTAAGCACTTGTAGGTACCATATTAAACGAATGCGGATAAATTAAACCGAGCTTTAACCATCAATTCGTTTTACAGGAGTATTTGTGTACATAGTAGACAAGTTGAGGAACGAGATAGTCCTGATGCATCCAGACACGGTGAATCCCGATCGACACGAAGTAAATATGACGATCCGTAAGTCTCTATATTTGAATATAACCTTTCTCCAAGGCTTCGTATACATATAGCAATGGTTGTTAAATGCACGTCAAGAGCTGTAAAATGAGCTTAGTGGACCGTAGAAGCCAGTTTTTGCAGTGCAAGTATCCCAGCATTGTGCAAAAACGGACTGGTGTCGAATTAAAGTTAAAAATCAACTTACATCTTCAATTGAGTAGTATTCCTGCTAATAGTCGTTAAATAAGTCGATGGACAAACCAGTAGATATTTTATATTAAAGTAACTATAACATACTTATTCTCCCACAACTTCTAGGTGAAGGCAAAACAGCAGCAGCTCATGTGGCGTATACCAAAGAGTTTTTACTTCTAGAAGATGTACAACATGATCGGCGGTTTTCTGAAGGACTACGGTGGATAGACGCGAAGGTGGCGCTCTGCATGCCGGTCATCAAGCCGGATGGAGACTGCTACGCTGTACTGGAGCTTTACAGAACTAACCCGAAGATTTATGATGATGTTAGACGTGTTCTTATGTTTCTTATTAAATAATATATGTATTTCATGCCTAATATAGTTAATAATTATGATATGTAATGTGGGAGAGCCATGCTTCGGCACCAATGTGTCGTCTCGATCGGATTGATACTGTTACGTGCCTGACGTCACGTTCCTAACTATGCGGGCTTGGGTTACGGGATTGGATGAAATTAAACACTAATACCGGTTTTCAGACTTTCTATTGCACTTAAGTGACAGCGTCCACGGATACGGATAAGTTATCGGCGTTCCTCTCCAGCAGAGTCCGGCCGACTGACACAACTTTGCCGTTCACTGTTCACGCTGACTTAACTCACTTAACTGACTGCACTTCACTATTTCACTGTACTTCACTATTTCACTCACTTTTCTTCTTTTCACTTCTTCCTTTTCTTCCGAATCGCTTTGGACTTAGAACTCAACTGCCAGCGGTGAGCCGCAGTTCCGCTTATATACCCCCGGTCAGGTTCTAGAACATTCAATTTCGTTATTCTTTTTGATCGTCATGCCTCCAGAACCTTCCAATAATTTCGTTATTCATTTTTATTTATTCTCCTTCTCGCTCCTTAATTTTTCATTACTTTCACTCAAATATTCCAGAAAGTTCGACAAAACTTCCATCAACTAAAAAACTTCATGTTTACGGCGGGACTCGAACTCGGGGTCTCTGTGGTGTAATCCACACGCCTTACCGATTACACCAACTCGTGTTGACAATTCACGACGAAATTTACAATCTCTAGGCAACGTTTGACAACCATCCATTGACGTCATGATGTCAAAGAGTTTTCTGTCACACTGCCCCCCTCTTAGATTCGCTCGTCCCGAGCATCGTTGCTGCCGTAATACCTCGCCAACCTGTCTATATGGACAACTTTCAAAGGGCTCCTTGAAGACTTCCGAATTCTGTAAGTAATGTCATTGATCTTCGTGACTATCTCGTAAGGACCTTCCCAACTCGGTTGCAGCTTTGGAGATTTTCCCTTCCTTCTGACTGGATTATGAAGCCAGACCAATGACCCCTCTTCAAACCCAACAGAATTGGCTCGTCGATCATAGCGCGTCTTTGCGCGATCACTAGCTTGAAGACCGGCCTCCCTGATCTGCTCATAAATGTCCAACATTTTTGCCCTTAACTCGCTTATGTAATCGCTAAACTCGGTGCGAGAGTCACCAGGTGGACAGCCCGATACAAGATCTGCCGGTAATCTCAATTCCCTTCCAAAATTTGCAAATGCAGGCGTCTTTGCGGTACTTTCATGTACAGCAGTCCGATAGGCAAGCAAGAAGAGAGGTATGTAAGTGTCCCAATCTCTCTGATGGCTGTCAACCACCTTTGCTAAGTGTCGCTCCAATGTTTGGTTGAAGCGTTCGACCATTCCATCTGACTGTGGATGATAAGGGGTCGTTCGAGTCTTATGGATTCCCAAAAGTTTACAAGTTTCCTGGAAAACTTGGGATTCAAAGTTCCGTCCTTGATCACTGTGCATCTCCAAGGGCACTCCGAATCGGGTGAATACCTCGTTTACCAACTTCGTGGCTACAGTTACTGCCTCTTGATTCGGTATGGCAAAGACCTCCGGCCATTTTGTAAAATAATCCATAACCACTAAAACGTAGCGATTGCCCGAATCAGTGATTGGAAATGGTCCAGCGATGTCTAAGGCTATTCTCTCCCAAGGCATACCAACATTGTAGATTTTCATGGCCCCTCTGCTTCTTGTTTGTGGACCCTTGACAGCTGCACAACTAGTGCATTTCCGGCACCAATCTTCGACGTCATATTTGCAATGCAACCAATAAAACCTCTCCTTGATCTTCACCAAAGTCCTCCTAATTCCCAAATGTCCTCCAGAAGATCCATCATGGAACGCTTTTAATACATCCCTTATTTTTGAACGAGGCACCACCAATTGCAAATGCTCGTCCTTGCCGTTTGTTGATTCCCATTTCCTGCACAGAAGTCCGTTATGCAGCGTAAGGCTTTTCCACTGTGCCCATAAACCTTTCGTTACCGCGCTATATTGGGCGACGTCACTCCAACTTGGCTTGTTACCACTTCGTAGCCACTCCAGTATTGGTTTGATATCCGCATCTCTTTCCTGTTCTAATTTCATCGCATCATCTCCCCATGCCTCGTCAACAGTATCAGTCCTTATCACCTTAAGAAAAGCAGTTTCCTTCTTGGCACAATGCTTGCAATCTTCCACGCATGGGCGTCTCGATAATGCATCTGCGTTGCCATGAATTCTTCCGCCGCGATGTTCGATTTCAAAATCAAATTCCTGAAGTTGTTCCAACCATCTGGCTACTTGGCCTTCGGGATCCTTAAACTGAAGCAGCCATTTCAAAGCAGCGTGATCAGTTCTGATCAAAAATTTCCGTCCCAGTAAATACTTCTTGAAATGGTGCAGAGTTTTGACTACGGCCAGCAATTCCCTCCTGGTCACGCAATAATTCTTCTCCGGCTTGGATAGTGACTTGCTGAAGTAAGCAATAACCTTCTCCTGCTCACCATCGCGTTGTGAAAGGACACCTCCTATTCCAATATTGCTGGCATCCGTATCAACTACGAATATTCCTTTCGCGCTGGGGTATCCGAGAATTGGTGTGTTACAAAGCCGTTCTTTTAGTTCTCGAAAGGCTTGCTCACAATCCTCGTCCCAGATAAAGGCACGTTTCTCCTCTGTCAATCGATGCAAAGGCTTGGCAATGTCCGAGAATCCTTTCACAAACCGCCGATAATACGAGCACAATCCAAGAAATGCCCGAACTTGCGTTTTGTCTTTAGGTGTTGGCCATTCCTTAACAGCGGCAGTCTTGGCTGGATCAGTCTCAATTCCTCTCTCAGAAATAACATGTCCTAGATAATTCACTTCGCGCTTGAAGAAAGAGCATTTCTTTGGACTCAACTTTAAATTTGCTCCACGCAGCTTATCGAGTACCTTTTCCAATTTCCTTAGATGATCGTCAAAATCCCGTCCAACAATGATGATGTCATCGAGGTAAACTAGGCAGGTTTCGCCCAGCAGTCCCGCCAGCACCTGTTCCATCAAACGCTCAAAGGTTGCCGGTGCATTGCATAATCCAAATGGCATCACCTTAAATTGCCAGAGTCCCTTCCCAGTTGAGAATGCGGTCTTTTCCTTGTCCTTGGGATCCAAATCCACCTGCCAATAGCCGCTTTTCAGATCGAGCGTTGAAAACCATTTCATGCCACTCAGTGTGTCAAGTGTGTCATCGATTCTTGGTAACGGGTAGCTATCCTTCTTGGTTACATCATTCAATCGTCGATAGTCTACGCAAAACCTCGTTGAACCATCTTTCTTCTTGACAAGCACGACAGGTGAACACCAAGGGCTAGAAGAGGGCTCTATCACGTCATTTTTCCTCATATCGTCAATCATTTCTTCAACCTCTTTCTCACGAGCGAATGGTATGCGTCTGGGCCTTTGACGAATTGGCATTGTATCACCTGTGTTTATTTTATGCTTCACCAAACCAGTTCGGCCAATATCACCATCGCTTCTTGAAAACACATCAGAGAATCGAAGAAGTAAATTTCTAGCTTTCATAGTCTCCACTTTTGTCAGACTTTTGTTTTCGTCTAAGATTTTCGTTACAAAGTCTATTCCCGTACTGTCCTTCTTCACAAGATTCTCCGAGCATTTTCTTATCCAGGCCACTTCTTCCAATACGCCCACAGGCTCTCCTTCTTCAATCGTAATTTTTGAATCACTGAAGTTGAATACCGGAATGCGGTTGACATCAGATGACCCCACGACAGTTCTCGCCGGTAGCCATGAGTTTACGTGTTCCGATTTATCAATCACAGCGCACCTTAGAGGTAAACTTCCTTCCCTCCTCCTAGGTAATGCGATTGGTACGAGAGTCTGTGATTTTGGTTCAAGAACAGTTCTTCTTAAACAGCAAACTTTTCCCAGGGTTCCACCCTTCATCGGAATTTCCTCAGTTCCACATAGTAATACTCCAGATTTTAAGTCGATGTTACACTGGTGCCCTTGCAGGAAGTCAAGTCCCAGGATGCAGTCATCCAGAATTTTGGCCACAATAACCTCATGTCGATAAACACGTTCCCCAATTTTGATTGTTACATGCAGTTTTCCACTTATCGGTATGCACTGGCCGGTAGCTGATTTCATTCGTAGGCCAACAATTGGTTTAACGTGTTTCCTGATGTTTTGCCCGAGCAGCCGAACATTTATCACCGTCCTTGAAGCTCCAGTATCTAATGTTAGCTGACTGTTTTTCCCATTTACTTGACCGTCTATCACCAGAGTATTTCCATCGTTAGTTTGCTTGATGTAGATTGTTGGGGTTATTCCACTACCGGCCAGCGCCCACCCCGCAGCCCTGGCTGGATTTAGTTTCCCTGCTGGTCAGAAGTTGAGACCGCCGCGTCCTGGCGGTTCACCTTCTTCGGGCAGTCGCTCCGCATGTGCCCACGCTCTCCGCATCCATAGCACATGAAGTTCCGACGGCGTGGAGGTACCTGCTCCGTTGTCGTCATTTCCCGCAGACGTAAGGTACGGGAGTTACCACGCACGGCTTCCACTTCCAATGCATGGGCCAGAGCTTCTTTCATGTTCTTGTGATGGCCCAGATGAACAGCAGCTCGTACTTCGGGGTCCCGAACACCGTCAATGAATGCTTGGAGAAGCGTGCCTTCAATCATTGATGGAGTCGACCGAAAAGCTCGACGCACAAGTTTCTCGATTTCCACGGACCATTGCTGTAGACTCTCATTAGCACGCTGAGTACGCTCTTTTAATTGCGCTCTGTACACGTGCTCGAGGTGGCTGTCTCCAAAACGTGCCTCAAGTGCGTCGAGGAGGGTACTAAAGCTGAGATCCCCACTTGCGCCGATAGCTTCCAGTACCGAGAGCGCTTGATCACGGAGGGCCAGGGTGAGGGCTGACTGTGCTTCCTTCTGAGTCCAACCATAAGCCTCCATAAGTGTCTCAAACTGTAGCTTGAACGCGGTCCAGGATGTTGTTCCGTCGTAATGGGGAATCTTCAGCCCTTTCGTTGCGCTTGAGGCCGCATTTGGGGCGTCAAAAACGGCTGCAAGACGGCTTCGGCTCTTCAAAGGGCTTGGGCTTGTCACTTCCTGCTTGATTTTGGAGATCTCTTCTTCCACTCTCTCCTCTATCGCCATGACGCGATGTTCCAACTTGCCTAAACCTTCCTCCACTTCTTGTACCCGTTCGACAGCCTTTTGCAGTCCCTTCGTGAAATCTTTATGCATGTCTTCCAAGCGACGCGCATGCTCCTCTTGGCGACGAGCTTGATCTTCTTTCAGCTCCCGCAGCTGTTCTGACTGACAGCGTGCTTGCTCTTCTTGGCGGCGCGCTTGCTCTTCTTGGCGGCGCGCTTGCTCTTCTTGGCGGCGCGCTTGATCTTCTTTCAGCTCCCGCAGCTGTTCTGCCTGACAGCGTGCTTGCTCTTCTTGGCGGCGCGCTTGATCTTCTTTCAGCTCACGCAGCTGTTCTGCCATCATTTGCCGCAGCTGTAGCAGAAGATCCATCTGCACAGGCTTGGCTTCTGCATCGCTGGTCTGAGCTGCAGCACCCTCTTCCCTCACACGCTGCGCTTCTGACATAGCACGGGTACTCACTCCTCTTACGTCCTGCGGCACTAGCGGCATTTTTCTCCAATCCCACTTCTGACACCAAATGTTACGTGCCTGACGTCACGTTCCTAACTATGCGGGCTTGGGTTACGGGATTGGATGAAATTAAACACTAATACCGGTTTTCAGACTTTCTATTGCACTTAAGTGACAGCGTCCACGGATACGGATAAGTTATCGGCGTTCCTCTCCAGCAGAGTCCGGCCGACTGACACAACTTTGCCGTTCACTGTTCACGCTGACTTAACTCACTTAACTGACTGCACTTCACTATTTCACTGTACTTCACTATTTCACTCACTTTTCTTCTTTTCACTTCTTCCTTTTCTTCCGAATCGCTTTGGACTTAGAACTCAACTGCCAGCGGTGAGCCGCAGTTCCGCTTATATACCCCCGGTCAGGTTCTAGAACATTCAATTTCGTTATTCTTTTTGATCGTCATGCCTCCAGAACCTTCCAATAATTTCGTTATTCATTTTTATTTATTCTCCTTCTCGCTCCTTAATTTTTCATTACTTTCACTCAAATATTCCAGAAAGTTCGACAAAACTTCCATCAACTAAAAAACTTCATGTTTACGGCGGGACTCGAACTCGGGGTCTCTGTGGTGTAATCCACACGCCTTACCGATTACACCAACTCGTGTTGACAATTCACGACGAAATTTACAATCTCTAGGCAACGTTTGACAACCATCCATTGACGTCATGATGTCAAAGAGTTTTCTGTCACAATACCACAGCTTCGAAGAAAACCGGCGTCAAACAACCACGGCACATTTTGTTTCGCCGTGTGTGTGAGGTACCAGGGGCCCCAACTTTCCCCTTTGTCATCCCTCCCCAATTTCTGAATCTCCTTTTAGGTTAGTCTTGCCCCATCAACCGATAAAAATCGGTTCTCTGAAATTCCAGAACGTAGTGTACACAGTACTGAGCGTGGCTTGTTGGGCTGGCGCAGCGGTTCATCAGGCACAAGAGAGGGTCACCTTGCAGAAGACAGGTCATCTAAACTCTGAACTTCGCGCACTACTGCAGAACTACTTCTGTGACCTGGCTTCCATCGACACAATGCTAACTGACATGCTGGTACGAAAATAATTCATTAAAGAACTAATTCTTCTATATCTTAACTACATATATAATTAAATTATATAAAATACATATATAATTGGCTTTCGTGTGGCTAAAGGAGATATAATTGCGTATTCAATTCATTTTTCGCAGCTAAGGTGATTGAGCTTATAGAATAAATTTCACTACCGCCAATGAGTAGTAATATTTTAATACATATAAAAATGGGAAAATAATGATGTATGAGGGTCAATGTCTGTATAACATACCAACTGTATCTTGCACCTACTTTCTGTACCTACAAATAAATTACTATTCCATTCTAAGATATTTTTGCAAGCAATGGAATCCAAGTGTAAAGACATATTTTCCATGCGTAATTCTAGGATCTTGAAGTGAACCATATTTCAACATTTTCATCAGTATTTTCTAAGGTTTTTTCTGATACCTCTTAGCCACAAAATCAAACGAGTCAGCGACTAGGATGCTAGTAATTTTGCAATTGAAGCGTGCACTGGCTGCACTGACAACAATATCAATGCTGCACTCTATTACGGAGCTGTTAGCCGGCACTTGACTAATCTTTGTAGTTTGTTGACCTTTTGTACATTAGACGACTTTTTTTTACTACCAATGCTATGGATGAGAAATGGGATTTTTGAGAATTTCATTTACAAAACTTGTCGCTACATTTTTAACAGAGTTATCGCCGTGCTTCTTATTCTTGATCTTTCTGGTATCAGTCTGTAGGACTGTGAATTAAAAAAAAATCTTTTATGAAAGAACTCGAAGCTTCAATCTTATTCACGAATAAATTGGATAAGTATCTTTCTTTCTTACGAAGATCTTGATGAATGCAGATAAAGGGAAATAGTACCTACCTATGCATAGTTACGTTCAATATTGCTAGAATAATCCGACGAGACATTGTGTCCTGATCCAATTTTTGAATTAAATTTCATGGGTTTCCTTATTCATGATTTCGTTAATAAAGTCCAAAATATTGTGTAAAGATGATCCTAGTCAATATATGTTGTCCTCAGGCGGTAGTGAAATCGTTTATCGGCGCGATGCGCAGCAGTTTCTACATAATCGACAAGGACCACATCAGTGAGATGATGCAGGCAGACATGTGGGACGACGGCTGGTCCAGCGACAGGAACACCATGCCGAAGAAGAAGCTCAAAGTGAAGTTTGTAAACTATTTTCATATTATAATAAATAGTTAAGTAGGTAGTTGTATTTTTTAATGATGAGATGCAAGTAATAAATGTTATCAGGAAAAAACCGCCGTTAAACAACCACAGCTTTGTGTTTCGCCGTGTGAGTGAGGTTACCGAAGACCCAATCTTTCCCCACCCCTAATTCCTAAATCCTTCAAACATTAATCCCCAAAAGGTCGGCAACGCACTATTAAGTTTTTCGTTGTTGTGGGGTGTCCATGGGCGGCGCTGATTCTTTACCACCAGGTAATGCTTCGGTTCGCTTGCCGTCCTATCACATAAAAAAAATAATGGTTTTAAAAAGTATCTATTTTTTTATCTATTTCCAGTTTAAGTCTAGAACAAACTCCGGCGGGTTACGTGGCCCGCACTGGCGAGTCTCTGAACGTCAGGGATGCCTACAAGGACCCTCGGTTTGCCAAGGAAATAGAGCCCACCACGGGCACCGTCGTGAGATCCTGTCTCGTATCTCCTATTACGGACAAAAATGGAGTTATTGGTAAATTTATATATAATTATTGTATTGACAGCTTTTTTGGTGAAAGGACAATCATCAAATGACTTTTCGCCCATGGCCCAGGGTGAGGCGAGAAGTAGTCTGATTCTAACTGAGTAAAACCCCCCGTTTTTTCTGCACTGATGGTGGTACCTTAATGCACTTGTCCAGCAACCCATAGTTTGTGGTTATAAATACATACAGTCTCTATTTTTGTCTTTCTATCTCTGTCGCAGAACTCGCAGCTGTAGGTTTTTTTTTGTGAGGGGAAAATCATCAAATGACTTCTCCCGCTAGGGCCGGGCAGGAGGGAGTGTCAGACTCTTACTGACTAAAAACCCCCCCTGTTCCTTCTCCTGCTCTGTGCCGAGGTCGCGGTACCTCATTGCGCTTACCCCGCTACCCCGGCTGAACATCAGCCCTTTAGGGCCCCGTCTGTGGTGGTCGAATGGCTCTTTGAGGCGCGCGCGGAACGCTACGCGCCGTACGCTCGGGCCTGGTTCTGGTCGGGCTGCGAGCTGCCCTTACTCGCCGACCGCAGGCCCGTGCTTACGGTGGCCGGAGATCGTCCCTCGATCCCCGACGCCCGTAGTGTCGCCAGTTGCGGCTGCTGGGGCGTGAGGAGGAGGATTGCTCCCTCACGCGGGCCGCCTCTCTCTTTGCGAGCATGACTGCTTCACAAAAGGAGGAGACGGCGTCCCAGTTCCTCTCACTCCGCACCATGGCCTCGACTAAGGCCGGGCGCGAGAGGTCGCCGCCGCCGATCACTTCCCTGAGGATACGGCGGTGCTCAGCCCAGGCAGGGCATACCGCTACCGTATGCTCCACCGTATCCTCTAGGTGGTCCTCACAATGACGACACTCGGGCGTTTCCTCCAGCTGAATCCGAAACAGGAACCTACCGAAGCTGCCGTGCCCGGTAAGCACCTGCGTCAGACGGAAGGTGAGGACGCCGTGGCGTCTCTCAAGCCACTCCTCAAAGAGGGGTCTTACCAGTGCTATGGTAGCGTGCCCGAGCTGTAGGTAGGTAAGGCAGATCATATTGCCTATGCTTTATTATGCCTATGTGCTGAATTGAAGAAACAAACTCGCTGGTATTTTTATTATTTAGATAACTATTACGTTTTAGATATATGTATATTTCACCCCAAATAAAGAGGGGTAGAAAACCTAACTCCCCAATAATCCTCAACCTCCTTTTGACCACACAACTATACATATAACCGCAATCATCATCATCATCTTCATCAGCCGGAAAACGTCCACTGCTGTACAAAGGCCTATCCTATAACCGCAAGCAACCGTTGTACCTACATTGTAACAATTACTTTTATATAAGTATCAATTGATGTTGTCACAGGCGTGGTCCAGCTAACCAACAAGACGACAGCGCAGCCGTTTGACGCGGACGACGAGAAAGTGTTCGCAGTGTTCGTCAGCTACTGCTCCCTCATCGTGCACTTCTACAACATGCAGCAGAAGAAGATATTCCATGTATGTTGTTCTGAGAGTCAAAGCACAGACTCTTAATTAAAAAGTGACTCCACGCTCTTATTTCTTCACGGAAGGGTCAACTAAAGGACCTTTGGAGTACCTACGTCTACCCATAAGTAACCTATTCACTCGGGCCTTCAAGACACTCAGGTTACAGACTCCGGCAAAGAACTACTCTCCTTAATGGTACTGATAATAAAATTGGAGTAAGGAAACCGGCGTGAAACTATAGATACTTGCGTTTCGCCGTGGCTCTGAGTTTAGAGGAGACCCAATCCTTGTTGTAGCTGCACATGGGTGGGCGGATTGCTTATCAACAGATAATGCACCTACGCCTTATTCAGAGGAAAGTTTTGTATTATGTTATACTTATTTTAATGGAATATTTTTACAGGATAACTTGAACCATGTGTTCTGTGAGCTGATGAGCCTCCACATGAAGCCCTGTCGTCACGACATGGACGACCTCCTAGAGTCCAGCGGCGTCATCATGCCGCCCATCAATTTTAAGAGGTTATTAGCAACATTTTAAGCTAAATCTTTTTCCCATCTTCAATATAACGTCAGCAACACCAACTCTTACCACCATGGGATCTAGAGGCTAAGGCGCTCACGCGCGTCTTCAGTTTGCGCGGTGACCCGCGCCAAATAGGTAATGGCAGAGAGGAAGCACCAACTGTCGAAACCGGGGGCTGGGCACGCTGTTATATCAGCGGTAAGTCTCCCCTTTGAGGAGTGGCTTGAGAGACCCCATGGCGCCCTCACCTTCCGCCTGACACTAGAGATTACCAGGCACGGTAGCTTCGGTGACGACGTGAGGAAGCTCCTTACACATCGGCCGCCGCTTTTTGTCACTAAGAGTCTAGCACTCCCTGTCGCCTCACCCTTTGCGATAGAAGTAATTGACAAAAACAACCACACGAACTCGCATTAATCCTTGAAGATCTTTAGAAACCAGTAGGTGTTTTCTTTTTTAGTAAAACTGCCTCACACTTTTATTTTATGGTGTCTTGGATGTGTTCAACTACGTGACGCCGAGACCCGAAACCGAAACCTATAGGTATTTGTGGATCACACAAAGAGTTGTTCCGTCCCTTACCTGTATAGATTAGATATCTAACTATACCCAAAGACTATTTCCCTTTCAGTTTCGACTACCACATAAGCGACAGCAGTAAGGAAGACATGCCAGGTCTCCTCTGTATAATGTTCACCGAGACGTTCACAAATCGGAACTTCGACCGTCTAGCTGTAGCGGACTTCCTTCTGTCAACGCTCTGCAGCTACCGGCAGAACCCGTACCACAACGCTGAACACGCCTTCTGTTTCACACACACCATGTATCTCATATTGTTGAACAATCCGGGATACTTTGATTTCAATGAGGTATTCTGTGTTGTTTTAAGTAGATATTTTCTTAGTCGTTGTAGATCAGATCTTCATTAGATTTTGTTGTGTTTCGCCGTGGGAGTGAGGTTACCGCAGGCCCAATCCTTCCCCTCCCCAATCCTTAAATCACCAAATCCCTAATTCCCAAAAGGTGGGAGAGCCAAGCTTCGGCACGAATGAGTCGGCTCGATCGGAGTGATACGATGGTCTCACAGAAAACCGGGGTGAAACAACCACGTTGTGTTTCGCCGTGTGAGTAAGTTAGCGGAGACCCAATCCCTCCCCCTCTCCCATCCCTTCCCAATCCTTGAATATCTGAAACCCTTATCCTCGTCACTCGTAATTCCTCTGTAATTGCGGGAGTCCATGAGCAGCACTGATTGCTTACCATCAGGAAATCCGTCTGCTCGTTTGCCGATCTATGCCAACTATAACTTAAAAAAATAAAAATTAGGTAGGTACATGATTCCAATCAACCAATATCTCCCAATGTGTCCTCCCCAGACAGCGGCTCTGATGCTGGCGGGGCTGTGCCACGACCTGGACCACCCTGGGTACAACAACAACTTCCTGACGCTGTGCAAGCATCCACTCGCCAGCATGTACCGCACGTCTATGCTTGAGAACCACCACTACTTCCTCGCCAAGAAGATCATTGAGGTAAATTCTATTAGGATCACTCGCAACATAATCGTTCCATAATTCTAAAACTTAATTCTTGAATGCTTTACAGAAAAATTATATAGGTCTCAGAAGATTGGATTCTTGCTTTTTCAAATTAGACTTTGCGCTTAAAAGAGACGAAATAAAATAATGGAAAGAAAGAAGAGAAACAGAAGGAGTACCTACTCCTTTCTAATAATGTATAGTAATTAGCACTAGATATACTTATTATATCTAGCCCAGTTCTTAGTTCTAAACGAGAATGAAGTGTTCACACAGCTAAAAACGTAGTCTAGGGACCTTACTACCTAGGTATATCTATTTTCCAGGACAAGAAGATTCTAAGTAGACTGCCTATAAGTGACCAGCAGCGTATTCTGGAGGAGATAAAGTACAACATCCTCTGCACGGACCTGGCCGTCTACTTCCAGATCAGGGCACAGCTCACGCCGTTACTGGCGGAGCGGGTCTTTGACTGGACAGAAAATTCACATCGACGGATGCTTAAGGTAAGTGAGTCTTAACCTGTTGTGAATAGCGCAAATATACGCGAGACACAATGTGTTTTCTATTATATTTTTGACATTACTCTTGTTCGAAGGTCAAAAAGGTTTGTAACGCACATATCTAGATAACTTGGGTGTGGAGAATATCACTTCACATCAGGTCTGAACAGATTTAGCCGGGGTCGTGGGTCAAGCGCATTAAGGTGCCGCGGCCTCAGTCTCGTGCAGGTGAAAGAACTAGGGTTTTTAAGTCAGCAAGTATCTGACACTCCTCGCCAAACCGTGGGCGAAAGCAGAAATTTGATTGTCTGATCAGGTGATCAGTCTGCACATTTGTTCTCACATAATAAAGCGTTTTTACTATCGACTTTTATTTTTAAGATACTACTTACTATAAGTTGGCAGTTGCTTTGCATCTTCATAATTATTTGGACGATATTTTCAGGGCATTCTTATGACAACGAGTGATCTGTCAGGATGCTGCAAACCATTCGGTATAGCGAAGGCGATAGCGGAGTCCGTGTATGAAGAGTTTTATGCACAGGTAACACTTATTTGTAGCTGTAGACACCGAATAGTTAACATCTGAGTAGGTAGGTAAAAATACTTTATACTAACTATACTTTACACGTTACTCCCTTTTTTTGTTGCGGATCGAGCGCAATAGATACCTAATGTACCGCGGCCTCGGCCTGTAATCGGAGAAGCACCGGGTTTTAACTCTGTAAGAGTCTGACACTCCCTCTCGCCTTACCCAGGGCAGAAGAAACTAATTAGACGAAAGAAAGAAAGAAAAACCATTTATTACGCCACGACATTTAACAAGAATACAGGCACAAATACACAAAAAGCCCATAGTGCGTCGCAGCGCAAAAGGCTGGAGCTTAGCTTAATACTGTGGCCCGAGCACGAAGGCACGAGTCCACGGCGCTGATTTTCAGCACAATTTGTCATTTTCCTCCTCAAAATAGATATTCGTCTGCATATCGTATGTAGATGGTTGTTTTTTTGTAATATTACATATGTATAGGTAATAATAATCCCGACCTATGAACCGTTATGCTTAAATGGAAGGGGACTGATGGGGTACCTATTCAATTTCAAAGGATCTTAAATTCGGGCGGCTTATTTGACCAGAAACACTATTCTATGACTGTATCTCCATCCCCCAGGGTGACCGCGAGCGCGCAATGGGCTACACCCCTCTCAGCATGATGGACCGCCGCCGCAGCATCAACCAGCCCGCGGAACAAATCCAGTTCCTCTCCGTCGTTGTGTTGCCCTGTCTGCTTATGCTGCAGAACGTGTTCCCTAACACCAGCCCGCTTACTGACAACTGCAGGTCTTATAATATCTTTTATACATTATTTGTAAGGGATACCCTTAGATACGGCCCTGTTCAAATGTGTGTTTACTTACACAGAATCGAAGGACTCCGTGTTTATAGTGTGGTTTATTCGGTCGTATATTTTTTATTATTATCGACACTACTGAAAGGAGATTTACATAGGAGAGTTTTATTTACATCATCATGCTTTTTACTCGCTTAGAGGGAGGCCTGAGGCACATTATGTGGTGCACAAGTATGGGAGAGCCGAGCTTCGGCACGAATGGGTCAGCTCGATCGGAGTGATACCACGACCTTACAGAAAACCGGCGTGAAACAACCACAACGTTGTGTTTCGCCGTGTGAGTTGGGGTTACCGTAGACCCAATCCCTCCCCCTCCCCTATCCTTAAATATCCGCAACCCTTATCCTCAAAAGGCCGGTAACGCCCTCGTAACTCCTTTGGTGTTGCGGGTGTCCATGGGCGGCGCCGATTGTTTACCATTAGGTAATCCCTCTGCTAGTTTGCCAACTTATTCCACAAAAAAACACATAGTGCCGCATATACCTATCATTTACACCAGTCATGTTCTGAGGGAGTGAGCTCTGGCTAGATAATTATCAAACTTCTTTGAGAGTAAAAAGTCCTTTAGTTTGTAATTTACCTATTGTTTTGTCAAATATAGGAAAACCCAAGAAGCATGGCACGAAGAGATAGAAATCCGCGGCCATAAGCTGTGGCGGCAACAAGAGTCATTGCCTGACGGTAAGAACAGCCGCTTCCTCAGCGGGGAAACCAAGTCCGACACACACGAATCTAGCGCCAATTAAACCATTATGATGTATTTTGTATGTAATAACTAATTACATTAAATAATCATAATTAATGTGTGATTTTACTGATTGATATAAAGTTGTATTTTGTAGACAGATCTTTCGGTGATGAACAATTAGTATTTACGTGCTAGTAGAGGCGCTAGTGTAGCTTAAGATCCACTGACCAAGACCTATTGGTTATGTGCAAAGCGAGTAGTGGCGGACAGATAACGACCGTCGCGCACAACACGGCAGAAATTGGAAACAAATGCGGATAATCAGCTGCCGGTTTTTATTATTAGGTATATTTCTTTTACAGTAAAACTAATGAATGAATTGCATTTAAATAATGTCAAGAATAGTATTTTAATCTTTGGTTTTATTTATATTTTGATTTTATATTGATAGACTTTTTTTTGACTGCTTCCGCAAATGTTGCGAACGCTACGCTTCGCCACCGTCGCGCACATAGCCAATAGTACCTACAAAACTACACATTGAGTAGTATTTTTCTTCTATAGAATTTAATGTGTTGGGTGGCTAAAAAAGGTATAAAAGTTGTGACAGATATATTAAAGGGACGTTCTGTGGCGTAGTGTCTGAAAAACTCGCTGGCGATTATAACATTATATTTGTTACAATCACAGGCAATGGTTTTGAATATAAAAGAATAAATAGATCAGTAATTAAAAGACACAATGACATGATAGCAAATTTATTTATCCTAAAACGATAGACATAATACATTGTATTCCAATTTTATTTGGTGTACAACGAAAATACATGTAAATTATACTTCTGTGTAACTAAACAGTCGATTATTACCTAGTGATGGACACAATTTATAGCTAGTGATATAAAGCTAACTTTTTTTATTTATTTTTGTACACCAAAAAGGCTCAGTGTCATTCCTTATTTGAAATCTTTTTTTTTCCATTTCTATAAATAATATTGCCAAACTTCTGATCACCCCTGTAAATAAAGAAACACGTTTTTTAAACTATTACCTAATTTACATCTATATGTTATTCAGATTATTTTTAACTTTCGCTCTTTTAATGCACTAACGGTGCATTACAATTTTATACAAAACTGCTCAGCCGTTAATGCATCTTTACATCTACCCATAGAGTAACACACAATAAATACAAACAATTTCCTTAACGAAATTATAAAATGAATTAGCCATTAAAATAATGAGATTTATAATGCATTACATGTCCAAATATACATGGCAAACCACAAAACAGTGACCAAATTATGAGCTTGATCGATTTACTAATAATTTCAACAATTTCCAATTATATTGCTTCATTGATAAACAATAACTTATTTTTGTTCTAATACATTTTATACTGTGAAACATTATGCACCTCGAGTCTTTCACTGTTCCATTTTTAAAAAATGAAAAAGATCATTTTTCTTTTTATTATAAAATATAATCTGTGGAATGCTGTGCTGTGTAATGTTGTTGTCTCAAATAGTTTGCATTACCTTAAGATAATTTATATTGTAATCACTGAAGATTATTGCAAATTGTGTTTCATAACAAAAACTAGAAGGCAAGGTATTGATATTTGTATGTCACAACTGCAATAACATTCGGGAAGAACTTTAAAACTACTCACTTGTTGGAAACTGGCCTATAAACACTCAATACCTGTTGTCTTTTAGCTGTCTATTTATTACGTAACACATTGCAACACAGACGCCTGAACCTGAGTCCTCCACGTACCAGACAGGTAGACTTAAAAATTGGTGTCACCATAAACACTTTCACTAGACAAATTAATATTTTACACAATCAATATACATTTGTTATAGGAATAATCTGTGTAGCTGCGAACCCTGCAAACGGTGAAGATATTTGAGTGGGGTCATACACAAGGTCGGTGTGCGTGAATTTGCAATTACGAACGCACATACATAACACATAACATCAACATCACATTTAACAAGGGGAACTATAACACGAGTCCAAAACCTTTTTGGTAATAGGCCAATACGGTGACACAAGGAGGTTGGTTTTAAAGTTCGAAGCTCGCATCTGTTTCCGGTATTGTCTATTATGTGTTTCGTATCTTTCCGGGGACATAGCTCTTGTCTATGGTGGGCTCCTGGAGGAACATGTGAAGGCACCGCTCGTTCTGCGCCAGCGGGTGGCCGGCTATCTTGTTGATGAATACTTCCAGACCTGGAAATGAAATAAGTTATCTCTTATTAAAAAATTTTTGTAAAACTTAAGGAATCTTTAGTGCCTACCTATTCACATTGACAATGACCCTTTGATTGTGAATGCACCTAAAGGTAAAAATTTAGTTTAGGTATCATTAAAAAGTCGCTCTAATAAAATTTAAGTAACTTGTTATCATATCTGGAATACTAACTATACTATAAGAAATACTTGGATAATATTTCCGGTTAATATTTTCACTTGGATATAGATATCGAACAAGTAAGTTGATCTAGACAATGATATTTTTATGATAAAAATATTTCATTCGGTAAATAACGAAGGGTTTTTTTATTCCTATATTCCTAAACATCAGAGCCTACAAATGAAAGAAACCGTAGGCAGAAATTAAAGATTTGAATAGATAATTTACGCGTGTGAAAAGTTTATCCGCCCCCAATTTTTAACAAACACTCAACATCCGATCACTTCGAATATTGCACAAATTTTAATACAATAACATCAAATACAGGGCCAGATAGTGTCGTATCGCCGATAATGTTCATATTAAATTGTAATAAAACTCGTTTGGTATGCTTATCAGGATTTAAGTTAGATTCGCGTGAGTTTTATTGAATAATTAACACCGGTTTATGACAATTTTCTATACACTTTTGGTATACTTCCCAAATATAATGCCAATTACCATACTACTTGGAAAAGGAGTTATGGTACAGGTTAGTGAAAGCTGAGGACTTATACCTAAACGCGCACAAGGACCAGGCAAACTATTAAGTGTTATAGCTCAAATATTAAGACTGCACACACAAGTAGCACTGAACAGGTTTGGCTTCTGAATGGAGAAAACTAGCAATCCTTTGTGAGGACTTTGTTATACTGTGGAAAATATCTATCACGTGCTGATGGTATTTGTTCGGTACAGAAAAGAAAGGGTAACATATTTAGCTCAACTAATTACCCTATCTTAATGTTATAAAAAAATAATGATTAAAGAGAGCCATTTAATGAGTCCTCAGGTGTTCTTAGTTTAGAGTACGACGGAGGCTGCCATGATCATGCTTGATCAAAAGCGGCCAAGATTATATTTTAATGAAGATAATAAAACACCTTTTTGGCTGGGCTGTAAACTTTAGTGACAGTGTTGATTTATGTAATAATGTTGCTACTGACTGTAAGTATTTATCAGACATATACATATATACATATCAAAACGTAAAAACTTGAAAAGTACCCTATGGATGTTGTAAAGTCTGCAGTCTGCACGATTGGTGCGGTGGCTGGGCAACTGGCTGCCGTGCAATGTGTCGCGGGTTCGATTCCCGTACGGAACAACTCTTTGTGTGATCCACAAATTGTTGTTCCGGGTCTGGGTGTCATGTGCATTTGAAATTGTATGTTTGTAACCGTACCCACGACACAGGAGAAAATCCTAATGCGGGGCAACGTATTTAAAAAAAAATAGTACTAAACATATGAGTTAATTAATACATTCGTGACAACAAACTGTAGATACATAACAATAGCGTATACTGCCATTGATTGCAAGAGATGCGATTATTATTTTCCATCAGATGTATGTTTTTATTGTTTACGACGAATACAACACCTATTGGCTGTTTTATGCCATAGTTGGTTTAATAGAGGATTTTGATTGAAATTTCAATAGGTACTTTCAGTAGGAAATGATTGGAAAACCTTTTTGTTTGTGTCTGGATATGATAGTACTTATAACTTTCTCCAGGATACAAAGAACAGGATAAATCTTATTTTCCTTTTGTTTTCCGAAATAGAATTGTTGCTAACATGGGAAATCCCAATTAAATTGAAATAATATTAAAATGAATATGTAATTATTGTCTTCGTGTACAATGAGTAATAAAGAATCGAGATATTTGTAAGATAAAATTGTTTTATCACATGCAAAACATGAAAGGCTTAATATCCGTATGATAAATTATATTCATACAAACATATAATTTAACGTCACATTGATTATTATTTAAAGAAGTACGCCCACTACACACTAATTTTGTCATGTTCTCCTATCGGGTATTCGACAAATAGGTAGTCAAATTCAATACTTTTATAGAATAGTAAAAAACTAAAGTAGGAATCTTGTATAGAATACCTATTCTAGGGCTAAGGGTAGATGACGTTTTTATAATACTTATATCAAGTTTATTGTCGAATCAATATACGAAGTACCTACGATAGCAGGTATTTAAATATCTAACTGTTTTTAAATATTGATCGAAAGAAATTAAGGATTCAATTTCAATGATGGTAATAAAGAGTTTTGATACTTGCCCTAACCTTGGTTATAATGTCTAAACTACGAACAGCAGCACTATCAGATTTTTTAAAGATTTGAAGCTAGAGGATCCCACAGATCCTCTTTCAAGGAAGACCTCTTTATTCAGCAGACAAAGCAGTGCTTATAACAACCGCTGACAAACAATTGAGCCTTATTCAAAATAATTAACTTAAGGAACTGTTCGACACTATGGTAATGCTGTCATAAATACGAGCCCCTAGCGATTGTTGAAACTAATCGAGTCAACCGTAAAACAGAGTAAATAGTTACGTGCGTAAAGTCGTAAACCGTTAGACATATATAATATTGAAATCAAAGTCTATTTACATTTAATAGCGTGTTGATAAGGAAATTAAATGTCATTATATTAATGATATTGATAGGAATTTCAGAGCCTAAAATTTTATAATACGGTTACTAACTACTGCTAACTCAGCATTAGCTTTACCCACCACTAAGCCACCGATATATTATTGATTTCTTGCTTCACCAACGTTTGAATCCAATAAGAATAACGTCGACTAAGCATACACCACACTAGCTAGTTTCGCGTGGTTTCACCCATTGCTCGGCTCCATTTAATCGTTGCGTGATGTTCCATAGCCTCAGGAACTTTGTAGCTATCTATCAGTGAAATAATTTTGGCAATCCGACCAGCGGTTTAAAGATTTGGTACCCCCTATATACAAACTTACAAATTTTACCTCTTTATAATACTTATTAGTATAGACAACGAATCTTTCTAATATTATAAAAGTAATCCTTAAGGGTCTCGAAATAAAGTTTATATCGAATCAAATTGTTATCTCTATCATATCGACTGCACGGCTGGCGCGGTGGCTGGGCAACTGGTTGCCGTGCGACGTGCCGCGGGTTCGATTCCCGCACGGAACAACACTTTGTGTGATCCACAAATTGTTGTTTCGGGTCTGGGTGTCATGTGTATGTGAAATTGTATGTTTGTAAACGCACCCACAACACAGGAGAAAATCCTAGTGTGGGGCAATGTTTTATTACTAAAAATAAAAATAAATAAAAAAAAATATAACTTGAGCAGTCAATCCTTGTTTTTTATGACTTATTTTCACTTTTATTTGACCGATTTCCATAACTCGACTCCTAATGATAAGAACATATGTAATAACATTTTTCGAGTAGATATTAAGATAACTACGTAGTTTCAATTAATCGCCATTATAATTGTAAATTACTACATAATTGTATTTTTCGTGCCACTAAGTTCGAATACTGATAGATCTTTAGAGTTCACACGCAATATAACTTGATCAATTTATAGTTTCGTTTGTGTGCACATGACACATAAATCAAACGGAACATGCAAGGGTCTAGGCAGGAAGACACGAGTGATTGTTTTATAAGCTTATATTTTTTGTATTAGAAAATAGAATCACGTGTTATCGGACTTGACTTATATGGGAAATCTATATTAATATATTATAAAGAGGTAAAGGTTAATCTTTGGAACCGCTGGTCGGATTGCCAAAATTATTTCACTGATAGATAGCTACATAATTCCTGTGCTATAGGCTATAAAACATCACGCTACGACCTAAAGGAGCCGAACAGAGGGTGAAACCGCGCAAAAGTAGCTAGTGTAATTATAATATTAGCAATGTTATTCCAGTTTGTTGATTCAAAAAGTTAGGAACTCTACTAAAAATCGAAATGAATTCATTAAAACCATGAACAGGCAGGCAACCACGAAATTAAGAAAAGGCTACAAATAAAATTTGATTGACCCTTATGACAGTTGAATGACCTTTCTTTTTATTTATCTGCATTTATTTTATACAGAGGTCGACATGTAAAACTTAGATACTTTTTAACAACTAATAAGAATTATTATAAAAAGTTGTGATACAATTCAGATACCTGCATCATCAGATCGAATGTATCCACAGATAAGCAAGAATCACTCTTTATAAGGAGTTTATTATGACCCCGACATATGGGAAAACGCTATATTGTGGCCTTCACAGAAAATCAAGAGGATGCTGCTAAAGATGTTCGATAGAGGGCAGAATTTTGAAATCACCAAATAACCCCTTAGGACAAGTAAACAAACTAATAAATCTATACATTGCCCCTTACAACTTGGAAACACTGTTATGACAATTTGTTTGCAACAACTATTTTTATTTTGGCACATTTTCAAAGTATTTATGCTACCAGTGAAATACACAGTTTGTTACTAAATTTTGCTTTGTCATGATAAACTCAAATATTTTTCAACAATAACAACATAAGCTAATTGGAAATCTCATCAGTAGAGTGCAATTTAGAAGACCAATTATCATAAACTTAGTGCGACATATTATTGCAATTATGCTATTAAAAAAAATTAAGAAAATATTTCACACAGCAGCATGAAAGAGGACTTTGTAATCTTTAACCCAATATTCAAGTTCTCTTTGGATGACTTTACATGATCAACCAGATAAAGATCAACTTAATAAAAACAGTAAATAATGCATGCATTATTTGCATTCAAATTAACATAACTAGTTGTGTTGTTGCAATGTTCAACTGAGTATTAAATTTATGTGCAAAAATATTTATAATAACTCGTATCTAGCACTACACCGATGTACGCATATGTATATTGATTGATTTAACTATTTGTATGGGGTTTATATCAAAAATTTTTCCAGTGTCAAAACCGACTATCACATAGAATAAATTTTATTGGAGTGCATGAAGTACCTACTGCAAGAAAAACTTATGGTTGCTTATATTTTTTCTTGTTAATGTAATTGGATTGAATCCGTATTAACATAAATAAATAGTAATAAAAATAAAATATGTCAAAATCGGGTAGTTTCCTAGGTCAAAAATAAATTAATTTGACAATACAATAGAGTATTGAAAAATAACTATACTTTTATTCATCGATTGATCGACACACTAAGTTCAAGATATTTTATAGCTTATTATTAAGAAATAAGTAAGCTATTTGATGCAAAAATACTATGACGTTTTTCAGTTTTTCATACAAATCGACTCAGTTTTTCATACAAACTTCATAGAAAAGTATTGTTTTTGACATTTGGATAAAAGTATTGAATTTGATTAGTTGGAAACTATCGTATTATTCCTGCCCGTTCACCAAAAAGGTTGTATATGATTTAGTTTAGTAATAAATAAGGCAACACTATCAATAAATAATCAAAACATAATACCTCATCTAGCATTCAAATAACAAATAAGGCCATTCCAATAACATATTGTTTTTGGTACAAAAACATATGTGTCTTAATGATTATGAATGGCTTTACATTTTCTTTTGTATTTACAAGTTTTAAATAACAAGAGTCAAGGTCATATTAGTAAGACCAAAATATTTGCTTTTTTAAATTGATATATGGCCTCAGTATTTTATCCTTATTCTATTTAAAAAAAAATCTATCTATACTATTCTTCATATGAGAAGCCATATAAAAAGCTATTTTATTTATATTCCTGTTAGTTGCAGGAATAACTGGTAATACTAACTACTAATATTAGACTATAATCTATCTTGGTGTGAATTTTCATTCATTCAGTAACAACATTTTATATGAATTAGTACTGAAACATCCAACTAAACTTTCACACCATGGTTGCAAGTCAAATGCAAATATGTATGCCCTGGCCCTGCGGGTTTTTAGTCAATAAGAGTCTAAGACACCCTCTCACCGCAACCAGGACTAAACTCCTTTAGTCCTCACTAACACCTTTGTGTTTGATGATTTTCTCCTTCAGAAAAGAAAACTATCACACTCATGGTCAGGTTCACATAATATTATTCTATATAGCTCAAAAATACACTTATCTATGAATATTGTATGAAATCACAACATATGACATAGACATATTTTTGACTTAGGAAACTACTAATCAATTGTTTTTATTACGCAAATATAGTAAAAACAATCAATTATAAGATAAAACATACCTTTTCTACGATCTTCAATAAATTCCTCCTCAAATATACCATCATCTCCACGGAATGGTAGCTGCCTTTTGAGGGCTTTGCCAGGTAGGGGCGGAACCACAATCTACAAAAAAGTATAATTGACACTTATTTTTATAATACACTCAATTTTAATTTAAATTTTCAAAGTTACAAATGTCAAGTGAAGTAAGTGGTAATTAAAATCAATGTTTTACATTGAGTTGATAATGTGACAGTGGTGAGTCATACTTCCTGTAGTGTGCATCAAAAATTACATCTCATTTAACTACATTTATCATATTAAGTATTGAATTATAAAAAGAGTTGGTTCTAAATTACCATAGAAACACAATCTATGATTTTATAGCATAACTATATTTAGATACAGGATATGATAATAACGAGGAAATTTATAAATTATATTTGTAATGATGTGCATAAAATAAAACACAATAATGAAATTTACAAGTTATGGTCAAACCACAGAATGTAATCAATGTATAATCATTTGAATGTCACCAGTTCAGTGCCCTCTTTTGATACAAAATATGAATAAGTTAATTGTTTCACATTATTACTCATATATTGTAAACAAAACTAACCAATCAACCCAAAAAAAACAAAACAATATATACCAAAAAATATAAACACACTATGCAAAAACAATATAATAACATATAAAATTAATAGAGAATTTGCTCATTAATGAATCATACGTAATAATAAACATTTTTGTTCACTGATAACAGAGAAAAAACATGAACTCTTTATCAATCATCAAACTATGTTGGACTTACCTTACTGTCTCTTTCCAATTCGTTTCTAAGCCACTCAAAATCGCTGTACCGCCGTCTCACGCTGGATTCTTTTACTTTAAACACTGGCAGGTTCGTCTGAAAGGAAAAAACTTGGTTTGCTAGAATAATCTCATCATATCGGCGTACTGTTGCGAACGACCGAGATACGCCCACTAATTCTCGTTGTCGCGTCGATAGCTGCCGTTAATCTAATTAGATGACAATAATAGAGTCGGCAGCTTACCCTCATACGAACTTCGTAATCCGTGTAACGTTTTTTCCCTACTCCCATGGTCGTGACTGGGTTCACGACGTCGATTTCTAGGAAGTTAGCCGGTGCCGCGTAAGCATCATCCAGGGTCTGCTTCTTAACGTTCAGTCGCCTCGTCGCGTCGGCTGTCGTGTCTTCAGCCATCATTACTCTTTATTTATTGTAACAATCACAAAAACTATGAATAGGACGGTCCACTAATCAAAAAGGAAATGAAAAATGACAAGAGTGAAACATCGTTTGACATTTCAACAAATATGGCGGCATTAGCGATTTGAAAAATCTACCGAAAATGGTACGTTTTTGCAAGAATCTTGTTGGAAGTAAAACAGAACATTTTTTATTAGCCTATCACGGATAATATATTTTTTCGTTACATTATCTTATTTTAGAAACGCTTTTACTTTACTCACAAAATCATTTATAACTCTACATTAGTCAAAAAGGAACGATTGTTTATTTTGGATGGCAGCACTGTATTTTATTTGCGAACTATAAAATTGGCATTGGAAAATGCTATTCTGCACCATTTATGATCTCATTGAATAAAATTGCATGATTCACAAGTGTTAGAGGTAAACAACAAAGAGCTTTTGTTTATATCATGTTTAACGTCAGCTTTACACTGTTTGGTTATGGGAGCAATAAAAACAAAAGTTTTATATTAACTTCATATTTTATTTGACTTATTTACAATTCTGATCATAGAAATTGGCTCATGGGATCCTCCTCGCGCCTCTTCTTCATTTTGTACGCTTCTAGTTCATCTTCTGTGGGTGCCTTTACCTCGTACATACTGTTGTAGGGACGTTTTCTCTCGTCCACCGAAAGAAGATAATCTGCACGTTTTTGTTGCCTTTCTTCCATTTCAAGAGCCTGAAAAGGCAAAAATAAAAATATTATATAAAGAGCGACAAGAAATTGGTGCATAATAATAGTAATAAAAAAATATCGATATCATTTACGCTTTTTCCTATGATTTGTTAGATGTCAATGAAATTCAGACATATTGTGATAACAAATAGTGTACAAAAAGTAGTACAGTTGCTAGTGTTGTGCTTGGAAGTTAAAAGATTAATAACATATAATGATCATCAAATTTAAACAATCTAATACCTTCTTCAATTTATCTTCTTCCCGTTTCTCCTTCTTAAGGTCCTTCTTCTTCTTCTTTTTGGCTTTCTTCTTATTCTTCTTTTTCTTGCTAGTCTTTTCTGTTTTCGATCTAATTTCCGTCTCGGACTCTGAGGAACTGCTGTCTGAACTTGATTCTGATGATGATGAGGACTTCTCTGCTTTGTCCTTTTCTTTTTCTGTGGAAAATTGACATTTTAACAAGAAGTTACTGTTTAGTATATGACGTTTATTACCAACAAATCAATATCAGAAGAGTGAGTGAACATTTTTACCAATGGTTTATAGGTAACATTAAATAGGTAGCTTTTTTTTAAATAATCAATAATATCTATAGTTAAAACTGGCAAATTCATAATATAATTCGCCAGTCACTACCATTGCCACTTTATTTCATACCTTTTTCTTTCTTCTCTGTATGCTCCTGTGAAACGGTTGCTTTCTCCTCTGGTACATCCAATACCACAGATTTACCAGCCTCACCGACGCAGTACGACATCTAAAAACCAAATGTTATTTTAAGTAAATAGTAAATTACATTGAGGGCTGATTTTTAATTGTTAATTAAAAGTTATCTGGGGAATAATTATTATATTATACAGCAAAAATCTAATTCCTCAGGTAACATTTGACTATTGAAAAATCAGCCCGAAATAAAATATTTAGTAGGCAAAAGTATGTTTGTTGTACTTAAACTAGATAACTATAATGTGCATAACACTGGAACAAGAAACAAACCTTTATAAAAGAGTGGCAACACTTGTAACCCCACTGTCCGTCGCGCCAGTACGAGCCCCACACGGACGTATGGTTGTTTATCAATACGTCCTCCTCATATTTACTCCTGAAACGATAAAATTAACGTTAACGACAATTAAACATTTTTTTCTTGTCATGACATGGCGCTCATGTAGCGTAAGGTTCTGTCTTGGTAGGGCCCGACAAATAAATAACTAACAAATAAATAAATTACTACCAACTCCATACAGGACGTCACTCATATAAATTTGTGTAGTTAAATCAAAAACAGTAGTGGTTGAAACAGTGGGGAATGTTCTACGTACAAATATAGGACCAGAGGTGTTTGCGCCAACATTTGGAGAGTGTTATTTGACTGACAGAAGTAAAATGCATGTATTAAGACTAGGAGCGCCATGCATCGTAATAAATGGACGACTTGAAACCACGGCCTTATAGAAAACCTCAAACCGACAGGCCTTACAGTATGTTTCAAATATAATTATATATTTATTGTTTAGTTAGAATAATTTTGACTTTGACAAAATGTTGAATGATTGAGATTGCTGAGACCCAAATCTCGCCCCACTCTCTAATTTCTCATAATTATTGTTAACCCATAATGTATAAGTACTCACTTAGCCAGCTGTTTCTCCGGTCCCTGCACGAGTGTACCGTCTCTGTTGTATCTCGTAAACACTTCCGTCTGAGCTAACAGCAGCTCCTTGGGGGGAGCGGCCAAATGTTCTTCTCCACCATATTTTTCCAGTATGGATTGTTTCACCTGAAACCATATATAAATCATTATTGTTGTTGGCTATTCTTACTATCTACATACTATTATTTATATCAACCATAATGCAGCTCAATTAATGTTTTTAAACTGTTCTTTAGTGACAAATATTTTTCTCCTCTTATGGTATGTGGGCAAACATTAGCAATAAATATTTTATTTGACTTTTAGAGTGATTTGTTAGTCTACTTGACTTACAACATACCTGTGACTTGAAATGATCCTTCTTATGATGGTACTGCCGCTGCAGCAGTTGCAGTTTGGTGGGTTCCGCCAGCAGGTGCACGTCGAGGCCGCGGGACTGCGCCTCCCACGCGAACATCTGAGCCTCGGCATGAGAACGAGTGTCGCCACTAAACCGGACGAAATTCTCGCCTTGGTAGTCCGATCTGATGAAAAAAGAATCCAAGTTAAATTATTATAACATCACGCCACCTTATTTCCGATTAGCTTAGGAGGCTTCAGACATTTATTTTTGAATCCTGATAAAGGTATGAAACAGCCTATATTTTCTAGCATTGGTCACTATTTCAAAGTATATTATAGCAGTGGCAACTTGAGACTGAGCTGACTATTTAGTTTGCACCATGCAGAAATTAGTCCGGAGATCTTTTTTAACCAAGGAACCCAAGTTATGTGATTCACGAAGTTCCTACTAATATTATAGAAACGAAAGTTTGTAAGTATAGATAGATGGATGTTTGTAACTTATATCACATACTGAACGGATATGAATGAATGGTCCGAAATAACCTATAGGCTATTTATTACCCTAGTACTGTTGGCAAAAACCATGTAGGTAATATTATAAAAATGAATAACTTACTCAGCCGCAGCAGGATTGGGGTTATCCCTCATAGAACGCGTCTTGGGGTCATAGTAAGCGGAGTTGGGATCCAAGTTACGCAGGTACTTAGCAGTGTCTTCTCGGATACGCAAGTTACGTACTGTGATACGTTGTTTTGAGTCCACCTGGAATAAATACAGTATATTATGTATGTATAGAATATAATAAGATTATTTGAACAACATTCACACACACACTCCAACAATGTTGTCATAGTCATTAATTATATTATGACATGGCTGCAGTGCCATACCGCTAGTTCAAATTGTTGTTCTTATTTTGGGTGTGAAGTATATGTAAAATATATTTTTGTAAACACACCCACGGCACAGGAGAAAATCCTGGTGGGTGACGTTAATAAAAAAATGTCTTTCTATGTCGTAATTGTATTTACGAATACGAATCACAAATATTTGCACTAATTGGAAATACAATATAGATAGACTGATGCTAGCTAGTCACTGAGCCGACCAATGTAAATTAAACTATGTTGTAGTACACTGTTACTATGTGTATATTAGTGATGTAACGAACGATATAGGTATTTAAAAAGTTGAGTATTTAGTTTAGTTGAGTATTCAATAGGAGATATTCTATTATTTTGTGTTAAAAAAATTTCATGGGATTTGATTATACATTTGTAGGTATGATTAATTAGGACATATGCTTTAAGATTAAAAAATAAATAAGAATAAATGCATATTAAGAGTGTGTTTCTGTTATGTATGTTATCTATTTAGTGAATAACTTGGCTGGGCTGTTTCCCAAATATAATAAAAAATTTAAAATATGTCATTGCTAAAATAAAAAAATATAACCATAGCAGTTGCATTATTATTTACTTAACAAAATTTTTCATTGTTCATTACAAAATACATTCGCAAAATTTTCGCATTATTTCTGCGAATACGAATGTCCAGAAACATGCGAATATTTGCGAATACGAATATTCGTTACATCACTGATGTATATAGGTAATATTACACCAACAGCTCCAATAACTGGCTTCTGTTTGTAATAAATGAATAACGAGATGTACACACCTTAGTACCAGGCATGTCCACTTCATCCACATATTTGTCCTCATCCTCCTCCGCATTGTCATCATCCTCAGTTGCAGTTGGGTCTGGAATTATTTAAATCATCATTTTTTCCTTCATTTTCCATATGTTAATCAAAGATCGAGCGTATTTTATACAGCTTCGCGCGAGTGTTAAGCTAACACTAAACTTCGCCTCAATTTAATTAATGTTATTATAAATATAAACCTTCCTCTTCAATCACTCTGTCTGTAAAATCTATTGCAGAGTTTTAATTGTTTAAGCATACATAAAGCAGGATATGGGGACAGAGCAGTGATTTAAACAAAGATTTTTGGAATTAATATAACAAAAACAAGAATTGTCAGTCAATTAATAAATCATTTAGTATCTGATTGTTCACACAACATGTGCATATATCATTATCATTTAAATAAGTAATGATCAATATTTAGAATTTCTGATGCAATGGATAGGTTGACCACAGGACAAAAAATATGGATTCATTAATATTTTGCCAACACAAAAAGATAAACATACCTTCTTCCAACTTCTTAGCTCGGAGTTCCCTCTTAGCATCTTCAACTTTCTGGTACTCCTCTATAATAGCCTTGTGCTGCTGAGGATCATAACCATTCCACCTGTCACGCTTGCCATCATAGCTCAGGTTCAGGTTGGGTTGTGCAAATTCATCTGCTGCGATACCAGCATTT